ACTTAGTTTTGTTGTAGCAGTGGTAGTGGTGGCGGTAGTAGTAGTTACAATTACGATGATGGTGATAACGCTGATGTTGGTAAGCATGTTTTGTTGAACATGATGACGGTGGTTGGGGTGTACATGGTGAAAAAAGCAACGACTAACTTCTGTGAAAATATTTCTCTGTTCAACTTTACAGATTTTAAAAACTTTTCTAAACTTCAGCAAGAATTTTAGGGCTAGGGGCGATGATATTATGACTTGATAATCTCACTGGAGCCTTTAATCAGTAAAAACGATCATCTAAATGATGATAATAAAGATACCAAGTTGTATCTCTACGAATGTTGAACATTATCTAATGATAACGCTGATGATATTATTCATATCACTGATGATGGTAGGAATGGTGATGAATTATGTTTAATATCTAATGATACTTTTTATGATAGGGTAGAACTAACAGTGATGATCAAGCTGATGATATCATTTATATCACTGATGATGGTAGCATTGGTGATGATATAATATCTAATGATACTTTTTATGATACATTTGAACTGACAGTGACGATGATGATCGTGATAAATATATACCAAATGATGAAGAAGAAGACGAGGACGGTTAAGATGACGACGACGACGATGATGATATGATGTTGAAAGTGATGATAACGATGTTTATTTTTTAGTAAATCCTTGCTAAATTCCTGCTAATGTCCTTAAAATAAAGAAATTATTGATTGGTTAAACAACTTGGGAAACGATTTATCGGCAAAATTTGGCTCTTATTTTCATTATTGTTGCTGCTTTTAAATGTTGTTGTTGTTGTCGTTGTTATTGTGATGACGATGACGTTGTTGATGATGATGATGATGGCGTTGATGATGATGACGGTGATGATAATGATGATGATGATGGCGGTGATGATAGTGACGATGTTGTTCTTATGCCAACAAAAGCCGTTAATTCAAATATAAAATTTTGTGTGTTGCTGTTGTTGTTGTTGTTGATGTTGTTGTTATTACTGTTGTTGTTGTTGTTGTTGTTGTTGTTGTTGTTGTTGTTGTTGTTGTTGTTGTTGTTGTTTCCCCCAAGCCCTTTTCTCCATTGCTTCCCTGTACGGACCAAAAAAAAATCATTTTAATTAACTAAGAAAATTACTAAGATAACGAGACAGTGTAATGGTTAAAGCGCCTGGCCCTGCTGATGCAGAGACCGGTTTCGAATGCAGGCTGATCCTACAGGCTCTCATCAGACACACAATGTTTGCGAGGTGTAAATTCTTGCATGTCTGACATAGGCCGTATCTGTGGTTGGCACCTCCAAGAATTAATTAAGAAATAATTAGTAATAATAATAACAATAATAATAACAATAACAATAATAGCAATAACTAAAATAAATTATAAACTTGTATCGAATTAATTCTTTCCACAAAACTTACCAAATACCAGAAGGTCATCAGTACTTATATATCTCGTATTTATTTCATTTTAAACTAAATCAACATCACACAGTTAATCACACGATATTGCATCTGTGGTAGCGTTATGATTTTAAATATATGACTATATTTGTTTTAAATTATATAAACATATATATATATATATATATATATATAATTTATTTATAATTAAATAATATAAGTGGTATTATATATAGTGAGTTTATATTTAAAGATAGTAGTTTATCCAAAATGTTATCTTATAAAATGCATTCCAACTACAAGACCCCAAAATTTATTTTCTAATTTGTTTTGTAATATATATATTATTATTATTATTTTTTTAGTATTATAATATTAAAATATATATATATATTTTAATATTATAATATATATATTATAGAACAGAATATATTATCTATATATTTACATCTAATTATTATTTTTATTAAGGTTATTATGAATATATTATGTCATAATAAATATATATATATATATAATTTAATTTAACTTGTTTGATAAAATCCATTCAAGGAATGTGAATAAAGATTTATGTAGGTGGAATGGAACTTTTTTTAAAAAAACTATCCATCGTCTATCAGTCGAACTTTTATTTAAAAGTTTATTTATTTATTTATTTAAAAGTTTATTTATTTAAAAGTTTATTATCGAAGTTTATTTAAAAATCGGTATTTATTCATTTGAGAATATATCAAAATTTATTTATTCATTCATTTAAAGATCTGTCAAAATTAATTTACTTTAAAAAATGCTCAAATGCTAACAATGTACAACAAACGTCATAGATGTTTATAAGCAGAACAGAATTCATTTCACAAGATACATATCCAAAATAATTATATTATATATCACATATCATATATGTGACAATAAAATTATGGATGTATCTAATTAATTATTCACGATACAATTGATACATTTGATATTATATCCCAAAAGTCGTAGATATCTAGCATATTTTGATAGCTCGCATTCATCCGTGTTTTAGTGAAGAATTTCAATATTATCATTTCGCCTTCCCAGTCGCAAGCAGTGCATACATCAGAAATGTGGCTTATTGACGTATGTATGTTTGTTTGTATGTATGTATGTATATGTGTATGGATGAATGTATGTATATTTGTATGTATGTATGTGTGTGTGTATGTATGTATGTATAATGTTTGTTTGTAGGTTTTTTATATGTATGTATGTATGTATGCATGCATACTTGTTTGTTTGTTTGTTTGTTTGTATTAATGTGTTTATGTATGTATGTGTGTATAGATAAACGTATGTATAAATGGATGTATATAATAATGATGTTTATATTTGAACAAAAATTAATATGAGTGAACACACACACACATACATAAACACATACATACACATACACACACATATGCAAACACACATAAATACACATACAAATATGTACACATACAACTGTACCTCTCTATATTGAAGATGATGTT